AATTTGTTGACGTTGGTCTTGGGTGGAATTTCGGAATTTGGGCAGAAGTTTGAATGAAAGTTTGCACGCAATGTTTGAGTGGCTGTGGAACTGGGAACCTTTTGCATAATAATCGCGCACGGAAAGACATTAACTCGTAATGAGGAGTGGAAATGTTGAAAACGTTGCGAGTGCTCTGGAGATGTGGAAAATGTTGGCAAAAATTCACAAGTCGCAAGTGCGAGCCAAAAACTATGCGCGGACGTGACAAGTTTAGCTGAAATATTTGCCGACCCGCACGCGCAGCATGTGCAAGCAAATTTTCAGCTTCGAAAACTTTGCGCCGATGATGTTTTAAAACAATATTACTCGAGGGTTTTCTATTTCTCATTTTTTTTGCTAAAAAGCATCTTGCCAACTCTTCACATGAGCAGAATTTTGATTGCAAAAAAAGTTACATTAAAAAAGTCAAGTGAAACAGAATTTTTACATTTTTACAGTGATGCAGCGATTTACGTACTAGATACCGAGCACTAGCCATGATAGAAAAGATAAAATGCACATTCAGTCGCAACACAGCGCGTTTAAAAGTGCAGAAATGAATTATGCATGCGCGGATACTTTATACTCTCAACTTTATAGAGTCGTTGCGTGGACGTCCAATGCCGATGGTGAAGGCGCCGGGCGCTTCAACGTCACGCCCGGAATATCTACATATTATGCAGAACGCTTTAATAATTAAGCCCGTTATTAAACTTGTAGCTCGCACGTACCGTGCATGCACGTGAGGGGGTAATCCTTTGGCAAATATTTAAATTGCACGCGAAATGCACCGCTCCAGCTGACAGTTAATAGGATCATGGTAACGCGATAAGTGAGGGACAAGAAGTCCGAACCACTTCAAAGCATACCATCGGCGCAAAATCCGGAACAGGAAATTTACATTTTTCTTTGCCGAGTAATAACTCATGTAATTACTGGCAGGCAGAGTTTATTGTTGGAAGATTAAATCATTTTTAGGGAAATTCAATTTGCAAAATGTGAAAATTTAATTATTTTTATGAAAAATTAGTAAAAATCATTAAAAAACTTGATATTAAAATCAAAATTAAATTTTTTTTGGAAAAAAATTAAAATTTTGGTTAAAATTTTTGCAAATTATAAATTCCATGCCTTCACGTAGTTGGTTATCAATCAAAGTTTGCTCAACTATTTACGTGTTTGGCGTCTGTGAGACACTGGTCTGCAAAGTTTGGAAACTACCCCTCATCACGTCTGTTTCTCAAGCAGTCTCACTAATAACATCAGAATTGACGCACGGATGCAGCCGCCTCGACAAGACCATCATCACAATTCGAAATTCCGCTCCGTCTACAAAAGCTCCACGTCTTTGACGAGTTTCCCCAGCGCGATAACATCCCTTAAATACTATAACATTCCAACCACGCCAATCATTTCCATATCACCATCACGTTACCACCAATTAACTCAACGAGATTAAACTTGCCTTCAATAAATTTTATAGTCCCGAGCTTTTAACGATTACACTAATGAATAATAAAATGAATAATCGCATTGAGTTCGTCTTTGTCTTCGGGGTGTGTTGAGCGCCGCGCGTGATAAATCCGCGCAATTGTGGCGACCTTAATAAATACGTCGCACGTTTAATTAGCGCTCGCGCTCGCGTTTGTTTAATAAACTACTTAATCATCTTGATATTCGCGCATCGGCGCGCGCCCGGCGCCTCCGCTATGTCTGTTAATACGGTGTATGCTAGATGCGCGCTCGGTGGTGCGAAAACTCCGAAACTAAACGGGTGCAACTAAAGTTAAAGCACTTTAAAGCCAGTTGAGGCGCGGTGTGCAGGGAAATGCACGAGTGAAATTGCGAAATATGAGGCCCGCAAATTACAACAGGAAATTAATACCGTCGCTGCGCAAGGAAGCGACACGTTGTCGCGTGAAGCAAGAATGTTGCAAACAATTTTTTTCCTAGAAAAAAGAAAAAAAATGGAATGTAAGATGGAAAATAGCAGTAAAATGGCGTGTAGGAAAAAAAGTGATAAAATTGCATTTCTAGCGGCGCATGATTTAACGACAAGCGTATTTCCAACGGCGTCAACGGCATGAAATTGTAAATTATTAAAATGGCGGTGCTTTTCCTGTTTTGATGCCATTTTTTACGCCTTGACATGCGATGTGTCAGCTGCAATATTGAAATATACATGATGTACATTATAGATTTTCCTTGAAGTACTTTTTTATACCTAATATTGTTTATTAATGCTTTGTCGGAGAAGAGAAGTCATTTGACACATGTAACAAATTCAATATGCCACTTTAGACACTTTCAGAATGGCGGAGTTGTATGTAGTCGAGTAGGAAGGCCAAATAGCAAACGGTCCGAGCCAGGTGAAGCATTCTCGGAATTCAGGACGAGTGTCCTTCACCAGGCACTCCCCTTAGCCGCCGGCGTTACTCCCCCATCGAAATATGCGAGTATGATGCCTCTCAAGATCTCTTTGCACTCCTTTATTCACATTTTTATGCTCATTGCATCATATTCAACACAATATTAAAATAAACATAAAATTTCTGTTTATTTGTCAAAAAATGATACATTGATTAATTATTAAGCCAATCCTTTCACTGAGGGTGAAATTAATAACCGATTTGTTTCCCTTTTGTTGACCGCTCATAAATATGCAGAGGAATGCAGATTGAGGGATTTGCAAATCGATGAAATCGACAATTGATGAAATAATACCCGCCCACATCGGAAAATTTATTAATAAAGCCGAAATTGTGACCCACAAGCCTTTTCCGGTTTGGGGACATCAATCAAACGACTGAAATTCATCAACAAAATTATTTCCAATCGGAAAACGAAAAATATGTTACGTGTTGATGTTTGATAGTTAACTTTCTATTGTTTCCGGCTTGTTAGATTGTGATCTCAGCTGGACGGAAACACTGGGCGCGGCGCGGCTTGCAACCCTCGTCGCCATTATCGAATATTGCTGATATAATAAGCTATGATAACAGAGCAGCGCTGATGTAATCTCTTCTAATAATAGACGGAATTTCGGCCGGTTTTCCAAGTTTGTGTATATAACCATTCAAGAGAGAGAATAGAGAGAGGTGGGGGAAGATAAACAGGAAAACTTTCACCATTTCTAACCTAGGCAACCATATTAACACCATTGACCAGCGCAAACTTAAATATTTCATTTTCATTACGTTTTATGCATAAAATATGTTTTTTCCTTTGAAAAATGGAAAATTTTGTTTTATGCATACTTGGTTTGTGGTTATATAGCGTGTAGGAGGATGTAGTTTAGACTTGAGCTTCAACGCTGCAAGCTTGAGTAGTTGCAGTAACCTGTATCGCTTTTATGGCGGCTGGCGGCTAGCAACTATTATGCTGATCCGCTCGCTTCGAAATTCGGCTTTGCAATGCACGTAATTTATATGCACCTGAACGAAGCACGTGTATCTTTAATGATATTAGGGAAACAATATCATATAATGTAATTTAGTTAGATAATGTTAACTTTGATGATGAATTTTATCAACAAAAGTGCTAAAATCACTGATTTTTATACCAAATTGTAAAAAATTTAGTTTTTCAAGATATTTGTATGATTTTGCAATATATAACTCTTTTTTGCTTGGTTCATGTCCTGGCATGTCCATGGATGTCCGCTCCTTGCAAGGATAATGTACGTGGGGATTTTTCTAAATAATATATATCACGAATAAAGTCTCGTCCGAGACGCGCGTTGCGACGACTTGATATTCCGAACATTTAATGCGCGATATTTCCGAGGATCTATGCGGATTGTAGCGCGGGCGCGCGCGGCAGGACAATAAGTGGATTCCGTCGGCGTTCCCGGAATGATAACCACCGTGTCACTGCCAGCGCGAGCGCCGACCAGAAAAATAGCGAATATTTTACTTGCGCGTGAGAATATTCCACCCTCTGTGATGGGGGATGAGCAGCAATAGGAGTGGTTTTAGTGGGGCGATGCAATGTCGTAAAAATTGAGCCACTTTGTTACCGCAATCGGTCGTCATGAATACACGCGCTTTTATGACATGCGAGAGAATACGAATAAATTTGGTTATGTTTCAAGAGATTTACTAAATTCTCAATGTCAAATAGGAATTTTTAGAGAGACACAAAATGTTTTAATCAAGATTTTTGTTTAAATTGACTAAATTGCTGCATTTACAGTATAAAAATAATAAAAATTTCTTTATTTTAAAAATTTATTTTGTTTTTATCAATTTTTTTAGTACCGCACGTCCGGTTTCACCTATAACATGTGGAAACCATGTTTAAAGTAATAAATCTCAACCTAAATAAATGTTTTCACTGTCGTATTTTGGCAATAAACCATCGAAAAACTAATAAAACCGCTGAAAACCACACGTTTTTGCAAAACCCATCATGACAACTATAAATTCTTTACCTCCCACCCTGAAAAAATCATGTCCCGGTCATTTATCGCGCTCTAAACCCTCACAAACTAGCATAAAAGACTACAAAATCACACAAACCGGTTGCACAGAGTGGAAAGAAGTAAACGATGATGACTATTCCCAACTACTCGGTGTTTGCGCACGCGAGGGGTAGCTTCGCATAACCTCACTCTGTGTGTTGGTGTATGTATGTACGCAATATTGTCCCCTGCGAGCGTTTTACATCGCGTTTTATGCTCGAATTTTATTACGATAATCTCGCGCGCGTCGCACGGTGCCTTTATAACGCATTTGCGTGCAGTAAAGCGGGTTTTTGTGCGTGCGAAGGCGCGGCGCGTCCTGCGGCGTTACAAAGCGCTTTGTTTCGAGAGACGGGAGACGGCGTGATAGGAGGTAAGGAAATCGCTACTTCCTTTCATTTTCCATACGAATCACGTCTTGCATCTATAATAGAGAATACGTGACTCCAGAAAGGACGAAATTGTTGTCGACGAAGGATAATTTAGAAAATAAATAAATTTAGACGTAAAAACTTACTGTTTTGTCCTGTAAAAGTCCAATCCGGCAGTCTAGGTTAACAGTACTGCCAACGCGCGCTGTGATGTTGTGGTCCTCATTGCCTCCTTCGAAGAAAGGCCCCCAGCGTGTATCGGGCAGGTCGGAGAGCCGGAAGTGCGGCATGGCAAACATGCGGTGGCGTGTTGAGGGGTCGGTCGGCGGCTGTTGGGCGGCGGTTGCTGCCGGTTCATCCGGGGCGATTGTGTTCGCGTCTACGTTTTCCGGATCGCCTGGAATCTTTGACGCGTTAGTCATCTCCAGCTGCAGGGACATCGATGTCGCCATCACTAATACTTCAGGAGATATTTCTGTACCCGTTTGGGATATGTCCAAGTCGTTTAATGATGATGTTCCTCGATCATTATCTAAAAACAAAAAATGTAACATTTTAGTTTTGTATGTAATCAAGACTTTATATTGATTTTTTCTGCTTTTGAGTAATAATTCCGACTTTCCCATGGTGCGCATAGAGTGGAGGCGCCGGGCTTCTGTCCGGATAGATTTATTCGCCGCGCCGGAGCTTACTAAGATGTGTCCCAGTAGAGAAATCACGCGGAATGGCCGCACCGAATTATCCGATTACGATACGCGCTTCCACACTAATACACTCGCACATTCTCAACGCTGAAAGTAGAGTAATTCACGCGGAGGGCACAATAATGCACGATGCAAACGATAAATAACCAGGTCGCAAAAAACGCACGGCATTAACGGCGCAACAGAAAAGAATGCCAGCGTGGGATGCGAAAGAAATGTGGTGTTGTTGTTGTTGCGGAAAGAAGCGAAGAGTTAAGAGTTGCCGCCTGTTAAGGAGCGCGAGCCATTTGCGCGCAGAGAGCACTTAATCTGCGTTCATAATTTTGCGCGCATCGCTCGCACGCCCTTGTTAATTGGATTTTTTTCGCGCTGGCTAATAAATAGGGAAAACTTAACGACTCTGCTTTCCTCCAGCGCAAAGTGCTACGAGAATGTAATGCGTACCGACGGGAACACTTTCGAGAAAATTGTTTCGCGAGCAAATATGTAAATAACTTAATTAAAGAAATGTAATTATGATGGAATCCTTTTATCTCTATACAGATGAAGAAAAAATTCATAAATTTTAAACAATTTTGGTGACGACGCAACAAAAAATAATTTAATAAAAATTGTAATTTATTAAATAAAATTTTAACTTTAAAGTTATGTAAATATTTGATGTTGGATGTCTTGATGTACGGTAGTAATATTTTTGCCGAAGAGAAATTTCTCCGTTATCCTTGTAAGACCGAAGGCAGGTGACGCTTAATGCTGATGGGCGGCTCATGACTCACCGGCTGTCTCGTCGTTTCATAACACGCCTGATGCAAGAAGCAACTTGCCGCCCCCACCTTCAGTTGCGCCGTCACTCTTCATCGTTCGACGCCGCGCCTTGTCCCCGGTAGTGCCACGTAAAACTTAATTAAATGATATAATGGCGAGGTGTAGATATCAACGCGGCGCGCCTGCGGGACCCAGCCGCCTTCACCGCCGCCGGCATACCCGATAAAACAAATATAACTTTCTGAGCGCAGCGTGTGTTAGGGGTATTCGATCGCTCAACCCTTTTGCAACAAGGAAACTGGACTCAAAGCAAAATGGTTTTAATATTATACTAGTCGTTATCCTTGGACATGAGAAAATTTTAGAATAATTTGATTTTAATTTTTAGGTGATTGATGATTTAATTTTAGAAAATTTTGTAATTAGTGTGCTTTAACTTTAAGCGATAAATGTTTGTTAGGCTTTGAGGAAGAAAATAAATTTACTTAGGATCTACACTGGATAACCAATAATTATATTCCTTAACAAACAAAATTCTTTTAATTTGGTTTCGTAAAAGATTGTGTGTATTGGTGTGTGACTTGCGGACAAATTGACTTAGGACTTTCAGTCCCAAGACTTTCGAATTCAATCTGCGAAGACAACCAAAAGTCAAAGGGAAAGTGATTGAAACTTGTCTCGAAAAGTGAAAGTTACGTCTATTAGCTTCGAAAATTAGTTTGAAATTTGTTTGGATTCCGATCAACTCTAAAGTTTTGATATTGCTCACAACATAACCTCAAATCGTTCAAAAATTAATTATAATCTACTTTTTATTGATTACTATAATTTTCAGTGATTATCCTGCTCATAATTACCAAAATAATTATGCATTGAATAAATAATTTTCCATTACGTTGCATAAAATTACTTTGCAAGGCTTAAATGCGATTTGTTCGTGTTTTATGGAGTGTACGTTAATCTCATACTGTGTGCGCGTAGTGGAGTGTGTTGATTGATTAAATAATTAATTAGTCGATAAAAATGGCGAGCGAGTTGCGTCAGGCGGTTGCGTTTTTTACGACCAAGCGCGGCGAATGGAAATTTCGTGCCGCATCGAATTCGAATCAACAAGTGTATTCAACTACCTAACTACTAAATAAACTTTGCGTGCTTTCAAAATCACATTAAGCACGCACATCATATATTAGTGCGGCATATTAATTATTTTTTTCGAAATTAAAATGTTTAAAACTTAATTTAAATCGTAAAAAATCAAAAAAAAAATGAAAATAAAGTTGTAAAATGAAATTGAAAAACATTTACAACATCAAAAGTAAAGTAATTAATTTTAGTCCTCGGAAGCTTAAAGTTTTTAAGTCTTTTGGCGTAATTTTTTGCAAAACTTATTTTAGTTTTATGAGTCCTGCGAGTCGTGACTTATTTGCTTTCCTCTTTACACTTTGTACTCGCTCGTTCCTTATTGATTGTATTTAAACAAAGATTTCCCACCGGAGAAAAGTTTGCCCCTTGCTGCTCCCGATCTTGCTGCTAATTAATTTTTAAATAAATTCGACCACACGCAAACCTTTAGCGTTCGCTAACAGCTGTGTGATACACAATACCCTCTTGGTTGGCACATGGAACTTACGAGTAGAGAACTCTTGAACGCGCCAAAGTTCAAGCCACAAAATAGGTTTATGTTGAGCGGTGGAAAACTGAGAAGTGAGAAGTGAGAAGCGAAAAGTGAAGCTAAACTCGTTATTATTTCATAGCGTTCTGGGCGCGCTGCGACGCTTAGTTAAATATGAAGATTAACATCTGAAACATTGAATTTATGAAAAAATAAAATTTAATCAGTCACACGAAATTATTTTTTATTTTTTTCATTTTTTGGTGATAAATTCATCAATCAATCAATCAATCATCAATAAAAATGCAAATATACGTTGCATCGCGATATTGAATATTTTCCACCCTATTTGACACCCTGTTCTCACTCCCACAATGAAAATATATGCCGGCAGTGTTTGCGTGTTTGCGTGTTTACCCTCATCCATTCTCGCAAAGTGTGTCACTGCAAACTGCATTTCAGCACCATCTCTCACCCTCACTCAACTTGTAACGCAATGTTTTTGTTTCGATTTCAAGTAGAAAGTGTAAATTGTGACACAATATTTTCACAACACTTTAGGGGTTGAAATATGATGATGTTTTAATTTCCGACGTTTTTTTATGATGTTATGAATCGAATGATATCGTTCGTATTGATATCCGCTGGATGTTTTTTGAAAAAACGCGTTTTATTTGCTTTCCGGCAGAAAATTGAAAATTGAAAGAAAACAGTTAGTTCTCTTCGCGTGCGGAGTTGTCAGAGATGTGGAGCTGTACGCGAATCGGCACTCGGATCGAGAAAATCTACAAGGAAAATAAAATGCGTCGACGTTTGGGCGTTTTCACCCGGCGGAAGAAGCGAAAATACCAAAAAAGTAATAAAAAAGAAAACTCAACACGCCACTGGAGCAGAACTGAAAACTTCGGTTCAATACTTGGGCTCTTAATTCATCACGAATGCTTTGAACATGTTTCTGCAATTAGCAATTACTGAAAATCAATAAAAATTAATAAACTTAAATATTTTACATTTTTAATTCACTAAAGACTAAAATTTATTGTATTTTGTGTGTTTAAATATTTATCTGTGGGTTTGTTTGTTGTTAAGTCATTAAACACTCGTCCATATCGTGGAAAACCGCCGAATGTGCTGTTGGGGTTGTTCAGTGGAAAGCTGGAAAGAAACCCGTCAGCGTTAATGCGCTGCAAAGACTTGGAGGCGGCTGTGCGCGAGACTATGCGAAAAGCACAATATGAACGCCAGCGCGCGTTAAACACAAAAAGTACATTGAAAAGCTCTCTGTGTTTCTTTTCGCCATCGCGGAGAATTTCGTGGGAACTAGAGAAAATGCACTGCTGTTGGCTGGAGAGCTTAAAAGTCTTCACCAACACACAACAAATTCAACTTTTATATAAATATTCAACTTTTATTTTAGGTTTCTAGCTGGGAATAGTTTTAATCAACATTGTGGCGATACAATGGGATTTTTAAGTTTTGACATTTAATATTTTTCTTTTCAACAAAATTTTATATCAAAACTTAACCACGGTTAGGTCAGTATTAAATTTTAAAACAAAATATTGTTAAATTTTATTTTTCTGGTTTATAGGTCAAAGAGTAAATAATTTTTTTCCTTGGAAGAAAAATAACTTGACCAACAAACATGATTAATCCATAAAATATTTACACCCATTCATCAATGTTTTTAGATACCATGATAAACATTTATAAACGTCACGTTGAACGTAAATACTCATTGATGATGGGCATTAACGTTTGTTGTTCGATTTCGATCACCTTCAACCGCGTAGCTGATATTGATTGCGATTGAAACACACGACAAACATCCGAAGCAAAACACGACGAAACGAAAACGCCCTCATTGCATGTTGATGAATTCATTAGCCAAAGAAACAATTGTGGCATTACATGCATTACAGGCATTAGTAACATTAGTGACATTAGTATATAACAATCGTAAATCACAGAAAACACAATTTGTGCTTGGGTACTCTAAAAATCAGTGCAAATGAATTGTCGGCTATTTATTTAAGTATGTAAAATACAAAAGTTTCTGACTTGCATCAAGATAACAGCAAATTAGGTTGCGTTTGTGTATAATTAACGCCCATCAATGCATTTCTAACTCTTTTGTACTAGTTTTTGAAAATTACTTGATTTTACTTCCTTGTTAACAGTTTCAGTAGAAATATATTGCATGCATCACTGCGTGTAAATCGATATTCTTAAAAAAAATACCTTTTTGAGTTTTCTGTAAAGCGCAAATTTACAATAGCTGGTTTTGATTACACAATGGATGCGTATCTGATGCGCCATCAATTGAGATATGTCTATCAATATATAACAAGAGTGAGTTTTGCTTGCGCAGCATTTTCTTGAATGAAATACTGGTTTCGGGGTTCAAAATACAATTGAATAGAAAGTTGCGTCCGGCTGAAGGGTCGGAAT